TTTAATTATATTTTTTAAGAAATTAAAAAAATAAAAATAAATTGAATGAATTACAAACAAAGAATTTGGAGGGATTTTGTATCTACCTCTCCTAAGTCTATTGAAACAAAGAGAATAATGATAAACTTCCTCTCACTCTCATCCTATTCTCTCTAACTCTTTCAATCCAAACTCACCCTAAACTTTACGAAAGAAAATAATGATTTGTTTTCCAAGAAATTCCAAGAAAGTTGTTAAGTAAAAAAATCCCACGTGCAACAAAGAAGCATATATATGGACTAAGGACTTGTTTGGTGTGACTCTTAGGAGTTTCAGCTTCTAGATACTATTTATGTCTCATAAATTTAAATTTCCCTCTTAAAATTTTATACTTTTAAATATTTTTTTAATCTTAAAAAATTCTTAAACAGTAAAAGTTAAAAAGTTTTAAATCCAAACTTCTCATAAACTTTCTTTTTATTTATTTTTCATTCACTTTTTCACATTTCTAAAAGCTAAAACTCTATTTTTCCTTCCAATAAAAATTTAAATTTATCACTCATAACAGTATTTAAAAAGTAAAAGCTCTTACAAGCCACACCAAACAGGTTCTAAGTATATATGAGGGCTACTTCACCTTATGAGCCTACATTTATAATTTTTACATAATATTAGAGTGTAAGTTTTGTTTCCTGAGAAACCTATTGTTCCCCATCAAATAGAACCTAAAATTCATATAAACTTGCATGTGAGGAGTTGTATTAAGTAGAAAAATCTTACATTTAGTATATATAATAAAAAAGTATATAAGTTAAATACAAAGAAGTCAAAGTCTTGTATTAAATTCAAATACATAATTTTCACAAAAGTTAACAAGAAAAAGAACGTGACTCCATTCAAAGGAAAGGAAATTTCTTAGGGAATGAATGTTGCTGAATACTTATACTCTAGTATCTCCTTTCTTCATCTGCACGACCTTCACCTAATGCACCTCTGCGGCTCTGCCCTTCACCTACGTCCCTGATCAGAGCCCGATTTGTGAAGCTTCCTCTTTCGAATGACATTTTATCGTAAATTTGGGGTTCCAAACTGCTACCCTCATCCTTCGATGCCAACCACATGAATGCAGACGCAATTGAAGTTTTCAGATTCATGACGTGGATGTCATCTTCGATTGTCAATTTGTGGAATGTTGATGAGTTGTGCCGGCATTTTGCCTTATGGCCGGGTTGGAATAAAAGAGATATCATGGGAGAGAGTCAAAGAGGAAGATAGGGATAAAATATGAAAATGAAATTTTATCCACTTGATCCCAAGGGAGGTCGGTTATTGTTAAATTACTGTGGGATAAAGCTTACCTAATTTTCTAGTTCTACTAAATAGTACTGCACTATGTGATACAAGGAGATGAGACAAATTTTTTGTCCTATCCTATGGTTTGTCTAGACTCCCAAACGTGTGTAGGGATGGCAATTTTTTCCGAAATCTGCAGAGTTTTGTGGAAATCCTTATCATGGAGATAGAGATTTCAATAATATTCTTTTGTGAGGTAGGGAAGGAAGCATTTTTTTTCTCATAAAATTTCATGGAAAATTTCTTCTACTCTGTAGAGACTCATAGGGATTTATATATAATAAAAAAAATATAAATTTATTATTACATATATTTTTGTAAATATATTACTAATTAATTTTTATTTACCTAACTCAATTGGCTAATCTAACCCAACCTAAATTGCCTAACCTAATTCATTTTCTAGTTCGATGCATTTTTATTTTTTATGAACTTGCTGTTAGACTTGTTGGATGTATATGGCACATGTATTTGTTGCAATTGCTATTGTATATATATTGCTTTGTTACACCGTATGTTAATGTATTTACTTGTTTGAATTATTTTAAATTTTTATTTTTTTTATTTTTTTAAAAAATTAAATTTTATATATTCAATACTTGACAGAGTTTCCACATATCCATAAAAACTTATCATTTCCCACAAATATAAGAACGGAAGTTCTTTTTTACCCTCAACCAAAAATCCTCATTCCTGCCATTCATAGGATGGGAATGGAAAGGGAATCCCCACCCCAATGGAAACCCGTTGCCATCCTTACAAACATGTCCTCGTCACCTCATGGTTTAAGTAATGTCAAAATAACTTACATATCCAAGCAAGAATCCCATTCCCAGCAAATTCCTGTGAAAATTCCAATAATTCATGTATAATTAACACGTTCGAATCCCAATCACAAATATATATATATATATATATATATATATTTATATATCCAAGCAAGAATCCCATTCCCCAGCAAATCCCATTTACCTATATATATCCAAGCAAGAATCCAAAACGTATGTAACACGTTCGAATCCCATTCATATTTGTATCCAACCAAGCAAGAATCCCATTCCCA